GCTGAGTAAAGAATCTATAGTCCACCTGACCTGGCATCAAAAATGCAATGGCCCTTTCCTCTAAAAAGCACTGGACAGAGGCTTGCTAAGACATGGTTCAGTAAAATCCAGACTGTCATAACATGCTACCCAAAGGTCTGCATTTCAATAATTTAAAAAAAATCACTAGAAATTCTAAGAACAAGGAAAACCACAAATTGAATGAGAAAGGACAATCAAAATATGAGTACAAAGACAAGATGTTATAATTACTCAACAGGATTTTAAAAATTACCATCACCAAAAATGCTTCAACAAGTAGTCATGAATACATGTGAAACAAATGAACAAACAGATTCAGAAATTTTTATTTAACATAATGCTGGAATTTCTTGCTAGTGTGGTAGGACAGAAAAGGACATAAAAGCCATATAGATGAGGAAAAATAACACCCCTATTTACAGATGACAAAATGGTCTCTACAATAAAAACCTAAGGAATCGAAAAGAAAATTCCTAGAACAAGTGAATTCAGCAACATTGCAGAATGCAAGATGAACATACTGAAATAAAAGCTATTTACTTAGCAACAAATGTAAGAAGACTCGAATTAAAGATAAAATACTATTTATAATCACTTCAATGAAAATTAAATACCTAGGTGTATACCTAAAAATCACGCACAAAACTTATGGGATGAAAACTACAAAACACTAATGAAAGAAATCAAAGATGGTCTAAAGAAAGAGACGAACGTATTATGTTCATAGATTGGGAGATTATTTACAGTCAAAATGTCAGTTCTTCCCCAACTGATATACAAGATTAATGTAATTCTTTTCAAAATCCCAGCAAGGTGTTTTTTTATGCATAAAACCTTATCCTGAAGATATATGGAAAATTACTAAAACTAGAATAGCCCAAATCAATCTGAAAATGAAGTGGGAGGAATCACTCTTCCCCATAGTGAGGCTTACCTTGGAGTGAGAGTCAGGAGGATGCGGTATTGGTGGAGGCTTAAATACTGAACAGTACCTCCCCCAGAGAGAGGTTTTGTGCCTCAGCTTGTGGAGGCCACCCTTGAGCCCTAGACTCTCCTTCCTGAGGAGAGCACCTTTGTTTTCCTGGGGACCTCGGCACACGCTGGGAAGTCTATGCTAACCCTGTGATTGATGGTGGGATGCTCTGGGCCATTTGGTCGCAGTCTGACCCCTGGGGAGCTGGGGCCTGAGGTCAGCCATGCGTGGTGGTCAACCACATTTCTGTAAACATGTCCTGGACTCGAGGCCTGGGTGAGCGCCCCGGCTGGCAATGCCTACTGTCTGGCACGTGGTTGTGGGAAACAGGTCTTGCCTGCTCAGCTCGGCTGGGAGAGAGACGGCCATTGGAGGCTCTGCCCCCTGCTTTCTGCATCCTGCCCCAAGTGTCTTCCTGCTGCTGATGTTTATCTGTGTTTTTCTCTGTTATAAATGATAACCGTAAGTAGAATGGCCTTTCTGAGTTCTGTGAGTCCTACTGGCAGATTAACCAATAAGCCCCGGGGTAGTCTTGGGAGCCTTAAACCAGTGAGGGGGATCTTGGAGATCTCTGAACTTGCAGACACGCAGATCAATGAAATAGAAGAGAGAATACAGAAATAGGTCTCCCGAATGCAACCAACGGATTGATTTTGATCAAAGTACAAAATCAATTCAATAAAAGAAAGATGGTCTTTTTAACAGCATCAGAACAACTGGACTACCTACAGGGCAAAAAAACAAAACAAAACAAACAAACAAAAAAACACACACAAACACACACCTCAATCTAACTCAGTCTAAAACCTTGCACTTTAAAAATTAATTCGAAATAAACCATGGATGTAAATTTTGGACCTAAAGCTTTGTGAAGAGTTCTTATACATAACACCAAGAACATGATTCTTAAAGAGCAAACACTAAATTGTACTTCACCACAATTAAAAACTTTAGTAAGTAAAACTGTCATTAAAAACCCTGTGAAGAGAATTGAAAGGAAGGCTGAGATAAAGAGATAATCAGCAAAACACATATCCATCAAAGAACTCATACCTTAAGGAAAGACCTCTCAAAATTCAATAATTAAAAACAACCCATTTAGGGCTGGGGATGTGGCTCAAGCGGTAGCGTGCTCGCCTGGCATGCGTGCCGCCCAGGTTCGACCCTCAGCACCACATACAAACAAAGATGTTGTGCCCGCCGAAAACTGAAAAATAAATATTAAAAAAATTCTCTTTCTCTTAAAAAAAATGAAAAAAAATACCCATTTAGAACCTGGATGAAGAGAATAACAGACATTTAGCCAAAGAGGATAAATTGATACCTAAGTATATGCAAAGATCCTCAGCCTCAGGGATAGACACAATAATCTCAAAAGGCTACATACTGTAAGAGTCCACTTAAATAACATTCTCCAAATTGGGAACTTGAAAAGATGGAGAACAAAATAGTAGTTTCCAGGGGTTACAGGAGGTGGAGAGGTAAGGAGTTGAATGTGACCATAAAGGGGCCTAAAAGAAGCTTACTGGCTCTGTGCCTTCATGAAGGTCAATTGCCCTCTCTGAACTTTAGTTTTTCTATTCCACAGAATACTCCGTATCAATTTTCTAGCACAGACTTTAGCCATTTATACGGGAACTTAAAAAACTTTAATTTTGCCAAAACAACCAAAACCTGTCATATTACTTAATTTTTTAATAGAGATCAACACAGACCATTTCATTAAATCTGAATCAGCCCAAACCTAAGTGACATTACTAAAAAGTCACTAGATCAAGAGCTAGGGTTTTGGGGTGTGGTGTTGGGATGAACCCTGGGGCATGTTACCACTGAGCTACATTTCCAGGCCTCTCCTGCTGAGGCTGGCCTCAAACTTGTTATCCTCCTGTCTGAGCCTCCTGAGCATAACACCACACCCCACTAGGAGCTAGTGATGTTTTTCCTCAAATGAGCATTAAAATAAATACTCAAAACCATATACTTTGTGCCACCTAAGTAATCACACACGCTGCCAGTGACTTGGGCCACACATTTCAGGAAACACTGGTTTAGTCCCAAGTGCTTTACTTTTCAGAGAGATACAGTGACATGTCCCAGACAGAAATGAACTTTCAGATTTGAAAGATCCCTTTCAACTCTTCATCGCATTCTGAATAAGTTCCAGAGCCTTGGATAAGGCCCCATAATCCCTGACACGGGCGCGCTGCCTGCCTGGGGGTTCGGTGGCTCTGATCCATCCCCTCCCTTACTCCCTCCAGCCCCCCTCAATTTCTTGTTCTTCAGGATGCCTGGCACTGACTTGCCTTGGGGCTTTGCGCTTCTTGTCCTTTCTGCATGGAAGATTCTAGATACCTAGGCGGCTCCATTCCTCAGTACATTCAGGTTCTCCTTAATGTCATTTCCTCATAGAGTCCTCCTTGACTACCCTGCTCAAAACAGCACCCCCATGTAGGTGTGCCCCACCCCCCGACTGTGTATCTTCCTTTAGAGCGTTTCTCCCTGGTCTTAGGAGTTTCTTGTCGCTCTCCCCAACCAGAACGGCAGGTGCCTGGAACTGTGCTTAGTGGGTAGCCCCACATTCCTTCCATCCAGCAGCCCAGCTCGGAGGAGCTAAGGGGAATGGTCAGTAGCTCAGTTTGCAGAGCGCTAGGACCCTGGCAGCCACCACCTCCCCAGGAAGTCCCACCATTTTCCAGAGGTGTCCCTCATCTGAGGTCTTTCCGGTGAGATTAAACCTGCCCCCTGCCCACCCAGGCGGGGCTTGGAGTTCTGCTCTGGGCCTCTACAGAACGTGCCCTTCCGCTACTTCTAGACAGAGGCCTCGACGGCCCTCAGCTGGTGGCTGCTTCTCGGGGTAAAGAGGCCCCTCCTTCTGTCATGATCCAGAATCCTCCGGGGACACATGTTCTTTCTGTTTACCTCTGGGGAAAGGCCAACCAGATCTGGGTTGGACCTCACCCCGCCCCTGGCCCTGCACAACCCTGAGCGAATCTCAGCAGCCTACCAGGGGTCTCAGGAGGGTCCCGGGGCCCTGGGCACATAGCACTTAGAATCGCTGCTGACGAGACAAATTCAGTCCCTGCCAAGGTCCTGCCCAGATCCTAGGGACAAAACAAGAACTCATACCTTAAGGAAAGAGACGTCAGACAGCCCCTGCCACCTGTTTATAAGGAGAGGAGGGTTGAACAGAATTCTGACCCATGAAGAGGCATAAAAAGACCAGGAGACAAGACCAAGGACCCCCAAAAGAAAGCCCAGCAGCCCCACACACAGCTCTCCTAAAGGAGCCCGGAAGTAGCCTCTTCTCCACCGTCTTACTCTTTGGGGATGGAGTCCATGAAAGGCCCCCAAATGGCCAACATTAAGAATCTGGAGTCGGACACCAGGAGGAAAACGCAGAGTCACGAAGAACTGAGCTGCATGTTGGTTGGGCAATGGGGGCTTCCGCTGGCCTGTTTTTCTCTTGTTCACCGTGTGACCTTGGGGGGTGCTTTTTCACCCCGGGAGCCAGCCCTGAGACCTATGGGGGTACCGTGGGAATGGTGCCCATGTGCACCCCTCAGTGTCGCAGCACTCGCCCGTTGCCTGCTCAGGACCGACAGGAGTGACAGCCAGTCCCAGGCTGCAAGGGCCTCACTGTTGAAAGCTGCCCTTGAAGTTATCCGCCTGATAGGAGAATGCACTAGAAAATACTTTGGTGCCTCAGGAAAAACACTGTGCAGAAAGAAAGAAGCAGCCAGGCTAGAGCTTAGGAGGGGGCCGAGCTCCCCGGCAGAGGGAGGGCAGTGTGGATCCGTGGCCTCCACCAAGCCGCAGCCTCCCTTGGCGCCTTCCCCTTCCCAGAGGAGGTCCAGAGCAGGACCCTGGACACCGGGTGACCGACGGCAGCTCTGGCCTGCAGGCTACCATCTGGGTGGTGGAACACTGCATTTCTCTGGTTTATTGTCTGTGACTCAGCCCTACCTAGGCCAATAAAACCCTGAGCGACACCCCTGGTCCCCAGCAGGCTCAGCATGCTGCCGGACCGCTCCTCCACTCCCTCAGGAAGCATCAAACTCTTGTTCCTGGCCTTAGCTGTCCTCGTGGTCCTGGCTCAGACTTCCCCAGGTAACCTGCTCCGTGGAGAAAAGAGAGGAAGAGTGGGATCCTGGGGGAATCACTGGGAAACCCAGTGTGCGTGGGAGGAAGGACGGCCCACGAGACGGTTGCCCTCGGGTGAAGGGCTGAGGATGGACGTGGCCCTGGGATGGGCGGTGTAGTCAGTAGAAGAGGGTTTGCCCATCACACAGGGGCCCTGGGTTCCATCTCCAGAACAACAACAACAACAAAGAACATACCTCCCAAGGGAAGCGCCAGGCCATACTCCATCAGGAAGCCTGGAGAACCCAGCAGACAGTAGGCGTCTCCTGTGAGGTCCCTTCATATGCACACTCTCCCTGATGTCCCGACTGCCTCTGCTCCAAGTGCCAACCGTCTCATCCCACCCGTCTGTTGCTTTAATCCCACTTCAGTTGATGATATTTCTTGCAATAACCAATGTCTTCATTTCGCGTCTCCATTCTGGTTTGGCCTTGCAAGCTCCTTTATTTATTTTCTGTGTTTTTTCTTTTTCTTTTTCCTCTCTCCCCCGACCCCCCAGCTGGTTGAGCCCAGGGGTGGCCTTCCCATTTTTTTTTTTTTTTTGAGACAGAGTCTTGCCAATTTGTCCAGGCTGGCCTTGAACTTGCAGTAAGCCTGTCTCAGCCTCCTGAGTCACTGGCTTGAATGCTCCTTTCAAGCCAGCAGAGGAAGTCTCTTGTTCTTCTCTTAGAATGAGTGGTGAAGGGATATGGTCCCGTGGTAGAGCACTTGCCCCTCATGGGCGAGGCTCTGAGTTTGGTCTCTGGCATTGCAAAAAAAAAAAAAAAAAAGGGGTAAAAAACTTTAGGTTGATATTGGGTATCGACAGGTTTCTACAAATAGTCTCAAGACGTGCATCTGGGGGTTGCAGCAGGAGGGTCTGCATTACAGACTGAATGTGGTCAGAGCGCTCCAGCAAGAAAGCAGGCTTCACTGCTGGGTGGTAAATAACTTTCTAATGGAAATGTTTCCCCATAGGTTTCCCTGTGACTTAATTCCGTGATATCCTTTGGCTCACTGCTGTTGGAAATCCCAGCCTATCCTGGATGGGCTGGGGCTGAGTTTGAGTTGGTTTCAGCCTGCCTTAAACTCTGATGAGGGAAATTGCAATAGAGCAGGAATTATGGGATGTGAGATTATTAGATTTTGGAGAAAGAATCAAGATAGTGGCTCACGGATTATTGAAACAGAAAAGCCAGTCAATGTGATGGTTTTTTTCCAGTCTGAATGTCCTATTGAGAGAGAATGGGGATGATGTCTTAGGAGAAGATTTGGTGAAAGGGTAAGTGGAGAGAATCTGTCGTTGAAACTAACATACCATGATTTCTCAGCTGATCTCCCAACAGGCTGGGTGAGCTGAGTCTGCACTTAGAATTTTATTGATCTAGCTAGGGCTAAGTCCTAGACTAGAAATCAGAGAAAGATAGAGCGTTACACTCCCCAGGATGTCAGCCTGAAGGTCAGCTCTGTAATCTCCTCAGTAGGAAGCTCCTAGAACTGTGCCTGGCACGTAGTAGATGCTTAACAAACTGCTGTTGAATTAAGAAAGAATGGAGAGGGAAAAACAGATCATTGGAAGCTCAGGGCTCCTCCTTGGCAAGCTCCTAGATTTAGAAAGGAAGTGGAACTAGATAGTAGGTCTGTGAATAATGACAGAGAAGGAAACATCATTGGCAGGGGAATAAAATTCAGCGTTAGTTGAGGGATGGGAAATAATGACTCACATCCAACCCATGTTAAGACCAGCACTGTGTCTTCTCCATGCAGAGAATCAGAGCGTCCCAAGATGCTAGTGGATGTCAAGATCAGTGTTCACCCCGATGGTCACCACTGTTGCTATTACCAATGTCTTTAGCATCCTATTATTTGCCTTTTTTGTGTGTACTTATATATTCATCTCTTTGTTTATTTTGATAGATGGATGGCTTAAAAAGTGCTATTATGGCCTGGGAAGATGCAGGAAATCATGTAAAGAAGAAGAGAAGAAGAGAGAAAAATGTGGGAAAACTCTGACTTGCTGCCTCCTATCAAAAAACGCTAAATTATCACATTTCTCCCCAAGACCTATAACAGGTGAGGCTCTATATCTATTGGAGATTTCTGAATGCAGAAGACTCATTATATTTATATTTTAAGAATCATTGTGTAGATGCATATTTTCATATATAAATTTTTAGAGTCATTATAATGAGTCAAGAAATGGGTGTCCAGGATCCTTAAATCCCTGGTGGGTCTCCACAGATCCATTAAAATACATCCACTTCGGCCGTCAATGTGCCTCTTTAGTGGCCTATGGCCCAACAACTTTCACGGGTGTCCCAGGATGTGACTGATAATATTAATCCTCACGTTAAGAGAATGTTAGAGGATCTGGATCCTGGATTTCAGGGGCTTCCTTTCTCCTTCTTTTTCTTTTTTTGGTACCAGGGATCAAACCCAGGATGCTTAACCACGGAGCCACACCCCCAGCCCATATTTTATATTTTATTTAGAGACACAGTCTTGTGAGTTGTTTAGGGGCTCACTAAGTTGCTGAGGCTGGCTTTGAACTTGTAATCCTCCTGCCTCAGCCTCCCAAGCCTCTGGGTTTACAGGGGTGCGCCTCTGTGACGGGCTTTCTGAGCCTTTGACTGGGTCCGTGAGTATAGAATCTTTCCAGGTTAGTGTAAATTGCACCTTGGTCACAAACTGTCATTGTCACATTTCATCCTGGAAAGTTGAGATAGGCCCATGGGACCCAGAAGGTCTCCCCTCACCTCTTTATCTTGAGGTTTGGCTCTGGGCTCTACTTTATGGCCCCAGTCTTGGAATTTATCCCTTACAACCCAGGTCCCTCATTCCAGCTGACTCTCCAAAGATGGCCTGTCCACTGACCAGAAGGGAACCATCCTCCCAAAACCAAACAGGAGGGAAAAAGAGTAAAAAAGGAAAAAGTTTCAACTTTTATTGAAGACATTAGGTACAAGATCTTGTCCTGGGCACTTCACAGACAGAAACTCACTTTGTTCCAGCAGATCTATGAGATAGGACTAGTATTATGTCCCTTTGCCAAGAGAGGCTACTCAGTTGCAGAGAGTTTAAACGACTTGTCCCAAGTGGCAGAGAGAGAGCTAGTTCAGCCACAGACCTTGGAACCTTCACGCCTGAATCCCAGCACAGCACTTCTCAGAAACAGCTGAAGTAAGAACCTCACTTCACTCTTCCCACCCAGAACCAACCTTAAAGCGGAGGGTGTGGCGAATGAAGAACCTCTGGTACTCTGACAGCTAAATGTGTAGCACAGTCAGCCCTAACTGATCTACGCAGGCACCCAGGAGGCCACCCGGGGGTGGCAGTGCAGGGGGAAGTGGGTCCGTCCAGAGGCCAGGATCCATCAGGTCGTGTAGATCCTCTTGGCTGGAGGACTTAGGCCCACAGATGAACCCCGGAGGCTTACAGAGTTGTGTCAACGTGACTCCAGGTCCATGACCCCAAAGAAGTGAGAAGGGTGCAGAGGACATTCAGACGCAGTCAGAGGATACGACTAAGTCACAGACACTCACCACTCTGAGCCTCGGTTTGACCATCTCCAACATGGAAGTGTCGGACCGCCTTTCAGTCCTAAGACCTTCCTCGTTCTTTACATTAGGGTAGAAATCCATTTCCTTGACTTCAGAAGGTGGCATCTGAGAGAGCCAAGGCATGGGTGAGGGAGAGAGAGGGAGAAGAGGAGAGAGAGAGAGGAAAGAGAGGAGAGAGGGAGAGAGGGCGGGGGAAATCAGAAATGACCTTCAATCTAAGTACTCAAGACCTTCAGACACACAGAGCCTTCCTGTTCCCCACTGCCCAGCCCCTTGAGCACTCCAAGTCTACCTCCATAGCACCTGCTCGCCCTCCCGTCTCCACGGCGGTAGTTCAGCCACCATCTTTCCTTGACCATCACGGTGGACTGGACCTCGTTGCCCTGCTCCCCAAATGTCTATGTTAAAGCCCCCAATCCCCAGCCCCTCAAGATGTGAGTGCACTTGGAGACACGGTCTTTAAAGAGGTAAAGAGGTTGAAATGAGGTCCGGTAAGAAGAGATGACAGCACATGATCATTCTCAAATCATTTTGGCACGCAGGAAATTGTTAAAATCCAAAAAGAGGATGGCGCCTGCGAGCCAAGGAGAGGAGCCTGGGAAGAAAGCAACACCACTGACATTTTGATCTCGGACTGTGAGACTCCAGAACTGTGAGAAAATAAATTCCTGTTGTTCAAGCCACCCACTCTGTGAGACTTTGTTACGACGGCCCTGGCAAATGCATCTGCGAACGTGCCAGAACGTTTGTATCTTAAATGTTATCCTGAAATTCAGGTATTTTTCAATGTTTTGGAAATATTTCTCAGGCAATCCTATTTTTCTTTTCCAACTCTTCAAAAGCTGTACAGCTCACACCAGAACCGATTCTGAACAACTCTCTCCAGAATAACCCGCAGTCCACCTCTGCTTCTCACCTGTAGCCCCTCCTCCCTGAGCTCCCACCATGAGTCTCACGCCCAGCTTGTGATCCGGGGAGGTATTCATCCAGTTTCTCGCCATTCTTTCTCTAGGCTGTTCCTTCTGCCTGGAGGGTTCTTCTCGCCAATCGGCCCATCCCAGCCCCTCTGATAAGAGGTTACCCAGGGAAGAAAAGCCATATTGATAGGACATTATTCAAGCAAACACTTATGAGCACTGGTCCCCCATCCCCAAACACCCCACTCCTTAATGACCTTATTCCTCTCTCCAAATCCAGCAGATCCATGTCTCTTCCCTGGGCTGACTGTGAAAATCCAAAACACGGTCTGCGAATTATCACAAAGTGACATTCAGACATAGCTCCACAGGCAAGGCTTTTTTCCAGATGTTGATGGTCATGTTAGAAAATCGCTCTGATCCCATACGAAGCCGTTGATAAACGAGGGCCATCAGAATTATAGCAGTTTAACATCGGAGAAAATTGGCAAGAATGACAATACACTAGGTACTTGGAAAACACTGCTCGACTAACAAAACGTAAGTGAAAACCTTTATTTTAATGAGAACACATTGGAAGTTAGAATTTTTTTTCCCCTAAATAATCAGGATTATGCAACAAAAAGGTAAACCTATGGGGAAGTGTCTCATGACAGGCTACCATAGAGATTTTTGGAAAATTAAAAATACACAAATGAACAACTCCATTCCGTAGAGGTTTAACTATTTTAAAATAAAATACACATACTGAAGAGTGCACAAAACTCAAATGTAAGTTTCTATGAAATTTGATCAGCTCACACCCCTGCAGTCAAGAAAAAGAATATCACTAGCAGTCTGATGATCCCCCCACACTTCATTACTAGGCGGTAACTATGATCCCGACTTCTTCTTCTTATTAAGCTCTTTCCTTTTATTTTGGGTGAACAGATATTAATTGTGCTATTTCTGGTCCATTGTGATATTTCCATACATGCATGTGCACGGATCAAATCCAAGCTCTCTTTGTTCTCCTCCCTGCTCCTTCTAATCCCAAGTAAGTACTATTCTACATTCAGGTTGACAGTTATTTTAGCTTTCACATATGAGAGAGAATGCATAGTACTTGTCTTTCGTATTTCACCTGACGTACTATCATCCAGTTCCATTTTCCTACCAAGGATAGCGTTTCATTCCTCTTCCTGGCTGAATGATACTCCACTGTGTATATGTACCACATTTTCTTTATTCATTCATCTGTTGATGGGTTCCTTGGCTGATTCAAATCTTAGTTCTTGTGAATAATATTACACTAAATACGGGCATGCAAAAAACTCTTTATGATACCTATTTAATTTCCTTTGAGTACACACCCAGAAGTGGGAAAAGTAGGTCACATGGCAGACCTACTTTTAGTCTTTTGAGAATCCTCTGAACTGTTCCCTACAAAGGCTACATTAATCTACAGCCACACTAACCATGGATCAGCCTTCCTTTCCCCCCCGACAGCTTTGCTTTTTTTGCTAGTAGCTGTTGTAACTGGGGGAAGATGATGTTTCCTTGCCGTTTTGGCTTTTATTTCCCTGATGGCTAATAACAGGAGCATTTTTCCATGTATTTTTGGCCTCTTTTATTTCTTCTTTGGAGATGCGTCTCTTCAGATCATTTGCCTATTTTTTAATGGATTTTTTTTTTTATGGACACAACACAATGCCTTTTTTGTGTGTGGTGCTGAGGATTGAACCCGGGTCCCACCCGTGCTAGGCGAGCGCTCTACCGCTAAGCCACAGTCCCAGCCCTTTAAATGGATTTTAAATGGTTGTTTTTTTGTTTTGTTTTGTTTTGTTTTACCTATTCTGTCTTTTAGCTCCATCACATGAAGTGGCGGACACTGTGCCCACTGTCATGTTGTCTCTTCACCCTGCAGATGGCTTCCTTGGCGGTGAGAAGCTTTGTCATTTGATTTCATTCCATTTGTCAATTTTGCTTTTGTCTTCAGTGCTGTTGGCCTTCCAGCTGGAAAGCCATTGCCTGTCCCAGTGTCTGGAAGTGTGGCCCCTGTTTTCTTCTCGTCGTCTCAGACCTTACACCCAGGTCTTCCATCCATGTCTAGTTAGCATTTGTACAGATTAAGAGATAAGGGTCAAGTTGCAAGTGGGTGTCCCCTTTTCCTAGCACCATTTCAAGAGACCGTCCTTTCTGTCATGTCCGTCTTTGGTCCCTTTGTCAAGACTCAGTTGGCTGAAGACACAGGGGCTTATTTCTGGATTTTTGCTCTGTTTCATTTCTCTGTTTTATTTTTTCTACTTGTAGTTGGACACAATACCTTTATTTCACTTATTTATTGTTATGTGGTGCTGAGGATCGAACCCAGGGTCTCACCTGTGCGAGGCGAGTGCTCTACCGCTGAGCCACAGCCCCAGCCCCTCTCTGTCTGTTTTTATGCCAACGTCATGCTGGGTTTTTTTAAAAAAATATTTAGTTTTTAGTTGTGGGTGCACACAATACCTAGATCTTATTTATCTGTATGAGGTGCTGAGGATGGAACCCAGGGCCTCGCACTTGCTAGGTGAGCGCTCTCCCACGCAGCCCCAGCCCACCTGCCGCCACCGTGCTGTTTTGACTCCTGTGGTTTGTGGTGTCCACCTGTAGTTTGGATGTCCTTCCCTGCCCATAGGAGCTTGCTGAAGGGGACCTGAGCCCCTCTTGCGGATCTCGCTGTCCCTCTGTCCTGGGGCATGCATGGTGAGGTGGCGGACAGCCACTTTGTCCTCCTCTGACTGGTTCTGGTCTCACTCCAGCTGGGTGTTACAGCTGAAGGAGTCGGGGGAGAAAAGTCCCTGCCTTTGGCCCACCTCCAGATAGGCACAGAAGGCCTCAGCACAGGAACCGTGCCAGGCTCTGGCTGAGGTCGCCATCCTGGGGAGGGTTGCTACGGAAGCAGCAGAGAGGAGCACCCGGTTCCTGGTGCTCCCCCACCTCTGTGGGTCTCACCACTGCCCTCACTCTCTGAGTCTGGCTTATTTCACTTCACATAATGCTCTCAAGTCCCTCCATTTTCCTGCAAATGACATAATTTCATTCTTCTTTATAGATGAAGAGAAATCATTGTGAATATATATCACATTTCCTTTATCCATTTATCTGTTGATGGATACCTGGGCTGATTCATAACTTGGCTCTTGTGAATTGCACTGCTATAAACATGGGTAGGCATGTATCACTCTAGTACGCTGGCTTCAGTTCTTTTGGGAAAAGACTGACGAGTGGTACAGCTGGACCATAGAGTGGGTCCATACTGATTTCCATAGTAGTTGTGCTAATTTACAGTCCCACCAACAATGTATGTGTTCCCTTTACTCCACCTCCTCTCCAGCATTTGTTACTCAAATTCTTGATGATTGCCATTCTAAATGGGGTGCAATGAATTTTCAGCTTAGTTCCCCCCCTCCCCCAAGTACTGGTAAGCAAACCCAGTGAGCTCTCTTCCCAGCCCTTTTTATTTTTTCTTTTGCCACAGGGTCTCACGACGTTGCTGAGCTGACTTCAAACTTGTGATCCTCCTGTCTCAGCCTCCTAAATCACTGAGGATTACAGGGGTTCACTGTGATTTTGATTTGCATTTCCCTGATGGCTAAGGATGATGGACATTTTTTAAAAATTTGTTTGTTGGCCATTTTTATTTCTTCTTTTGAGAAGTTGGTTCCTTTGTGCATTTTTTTGGCTGGATTATTTGTGGGGGTTGTGGTACTAAGCTTTTTGAATTCTTTAAACATTCTGAATATTAATCGTCTGTCAGAAAAGTAGCTGGCAAAGATTTCCTCCCATCTTAGAGGCTCTCTTCATGCTCCTAATTATTTCCTTTGCTGTACAGAAGCTTTTTAAGTTTAATTACTGGTTTTATCTCCTGAGCTTTAGAAGTACCATTGAGGAAATCACTGCCTGTGCCTACATGTTGAGGTAATGACCCTGTGTTTTCTTCTAGCAGTTGCAAAGTTTCCATTATAATTCCTAGATCTTTGATCCATCTTGAGTTGGCTTTTGTGCAGGGTGAGGGATGGGGATCATTATGGTCTAGATGCGAGGTGTCCCCAAGAGTTCATGAGAGAGACAATGCAGGAAGCTTTAGAGGTGAAAGACGGTTATGAGAGCCTTAACCCAATCACTGAATTAATCCTCCAATGGGGACTAACCGGGTGGTAAATGAAGGCAAGTAGGGTGTAGCTAGAAGAGCTGGGTCCCTGGGGATGTGCCTGTGGGGTATATATTTTGTATCTGGAAAGTCGAGTCTCTCTCTGCTTCCTGATCATGTCCGGAGCCACTTCCTTCCACCATACTCTTCCGCCATGATGTCTTACCTCACCTTGAGCCCCAAGGAATGGAGACCTCTGAAATTTTGGGCTCCCAGATAAACATTTTCCTCTAAGACTGTTCTTATCAGGTCTTTTGGTCAAGCAGTGAAAAGGCTGACTAAAACAGGGATTTCGTTTTATTCTTCTACATATGAATATCCAGTTTTCCCAGCACCATTTGATAAAAGGCTGCCTTTTCTCTAATGTGTGTTTTTGGAAACTTTGTCAAAATCAGATGGCTATTTGTGTGGGTTTATCTCTGTCTTTTTTTTTTTCTGCTTCCTCTTATCTACTGTTAAAGTTGTCAATTGCATTTTTTATTTCATTTATTGAATTCTTCAGCTCCAAGATTTGTTTCTTTCTTTTCTATGGTATTTACCTCTTTGTTAAATTTCTCATTTCATT